CTCGTGGGTTCGCACCCAGGAGCCTAGGTTCGCGAGGTGCGAACCCACGAGCTGGGTTCACGAGGAACCCAGCTCACGGGTTTGCACCCAAGAGCCTGGGTTCGTGACCAGCTTGCGGGTTCGCACCCAGGAGCCGGCCTCCTCACTGCCGCCAATTACAACAACCTCTACCAGTGCAAGACCCTCGACGACATCAAGATGCACCTTTCCGCTACTGAATACAGGCCTTATCTCCAGAATGGTACGTTTCGGTTTCTTCATATCTATTAATTTTATTGACGCTGTTCGGAATTTTGATATACAATTTGAAGTCAAGTGCACGATTGTGAATTGAGTATTGAGCTGAGTGTGATGAGGTCGAATGGTGTTTAATTGTAGCAGGAGAGAGTTCTGCCTGATGTAATTCGATGTTTTGTGTTTTTTCTGGATATGTAATGCGCTGTTTGTTCGTTATGGCTGCCTTTTAGGTTTTGCGAACCCAGGCTCTTAGGTTTGCCTGGAGGTAAAAGAAAAAAAAGAAAAAAAAAAAGGCTGGAGGAAGGAGAAGTCGGGGAAGAAGATGAGGGTATATTAGTAATTAAAAGTAAAAAATTTAGCATGTCATCAATTTTTGCGACGTGGATTTTCCACATAATTTAATAAAAAAAAAGGAATGAGTGTTTCCGTTAATTAACCTGCCACATCAGCCAAAATTTAACGGAAGGACTAAAAATGGGTCGGATTTGTGAACAATAAGGACCAAAAAGAGGATTTTTTCGGTACAAGGACCAAAAAATGGTTTTTTCCTATAGTAGAGGGACCAAAAATGGTATTTAACCTTAAACAATTGATCTACCTGAATTTTTTTTATTTTTTATGAACCTACCTTCAATTCTTTTGTACTGTAGCTATTGAGTCATTATTATTATTATTGTTATTATTATTTTAAGGAATTACTTTGGCTATTCACTTGATTTTTTTTTTTTTTTTGTACATTATTGACTTTGATAACAAATTAGCAACATTAAAAGTTTTCCGGTGGCAGAAGCCTAGTGGTGGCCTGAGCTTTGTGGGGAGAACACCAACTGCTCAAAATAATAATAATAATGATGATAATGATGATGATAATGTTCAACAACATTAAAAATTCTCAAACTACTGATGTACTAATTTACTTGAATTTAAATCTTAATGTGTAACTCATGTAATCCAGATCTCGTGTAATCACTGTCTAAATTTTTCACCTACACTGCCAAGATTCGAATCCGCCAACCCCATTTCTCCTTTCCCTTACCCCAATTCCCTTTGTTAAAAAAAAAAAAGAAAAAAAGAACTAGTTAGTTTGGGAACATGAATTTGGTGAAATGTATTTAAATTTCAACTTTCTAAATTCAATATCACTATTTGTTTTTACTTAAATAAAAAGTAATTGAATTTTAAAAAAATTACATGTATTTCACTTGTGTAATTCAAAAGGTTAAAACTCGTGTATTTCAATTTCACCCTCAAACCCATGAATTTTGATTTCAAATTGAATTTTCTCTACACTCTCTTCTCTCATCGACGACGATGAAACCTTCATTGTCCGTCCATCTTCTCCTCTACCATTGCTCTCCACCTTCTCATCGTCGGTCACTCACCACTCCGCTGGGATGGAGAAGGAAGGATGATGTGGTCGGTACATCATATAGAGGACTATGTCGACGATGGAAGCGAGGAGGGCAAGGATGAGGAGAATCAGAATGGACCAAAAGCAACATTGACAGTAAAGGTTGCGCTGGGAGTGGTAGTGGTGGCGACGGTTGTAGGGAGGAGGGCGGTAGGGAGGCCGGGAGGTGGGATTATAAAGATTGGACTTGGTGGGTCCATCGTTGGTGGTTGCAGTCGTGGTTCCAAGACCATTCATGGCGGCGGCGGCAGTGTTGGTAGGTTTGGTGGAGGGGAAAACTCTGTTCGTCATTGTAATTGGAAAACCAAAAAAAAAGAGAAAGGGTTCAGATTTGCAGGGCAATGGCTGCTGGAAGAGTGAGATTTGAAGACAGAAAAATGAGGCATAGATTTGGCCACCTCACTACAATTGACGAATCTCTTATACTTCTAATTCTACTCTGTAAAAATTTAATGGAGGAAAAAGTATTTTACACTTAAAAATGTTTTAAGTTTGTATAATTTTAACTAATTAATAAAATAGGCTTTTTTTCGTATTTAATAATTTTTATTTTATAATTTA